CCCTCCCCCAGCCGGCGGGGAGGGAGCGAACTTGGGCGGCCGCGGGCGCAGGACCCCGGGGCCGCTCTGCCGAGGAATTCGGGCGGGGGGCGGCTTTCAGGGTTTCTCCAGATTTACATCGGCCTGCGAGGAAAAAAAAAACAAAAAACCCAGAACTGTTTAGCGAGGTTTGTTTAGCTTCCTACAAGTTACCTGCCGCTAATGGTTGGTAAATACTTCTCTGTGAAATGTGGATTATTTCCCCCCCCGCGCCCCCGAATCAGCCATCTGTTTAAAACACACACGCACAGACAGACCTATGTATTTTCCCTGGTCTGTTCTGAAGCTAGACATTTTTTTATGTATTTGAAAATTACAGGACATAGACCGTGCTGCTGCTTTACTACCGCATTTAGAATGTGAATGGCTTACTAAGAGATGCAAACGAAACTGTTTTTCTGTAGAGGCTCAAAGCTTGAGCTAGCAATTTTTTAAAAAATGGTGCATATCTTCTGCAAAAATATATGGCTAGTTGCTGTGGTCAGTTAAGTAGTATAATAAGGGCATAGATGCACGTAAATTGTATCCTGATTTACAGACACAAACGTGTGTAAATAACAATTATTGTATAAAATGTAGATAACAAATAACTGAGCAAATCCTGACCTGGAGCTATTGATGTTTATTACTAAAACCAACTGTGACTCTCAAGTTTATTTGCACAAGAATTAGGGACGGCACAAAGGAACAGAAATCATCCTGGAAGACATTTATTGTTAGGAGAAGGTTGGATGCAGTTGTCTTACGGAGAGGTGGGATGGTGATTTATGTATCACTTTGTCAAGGAAAATCAATTATCAAATCGATGCGGCAGAGGAGGGCCTGGCATTCCTTCTTCCACGCTCCCCGCAATGCCCATGGGTGCAATGGGTGCAGAATGAATGCTTCAGACAGGGGTTTTCTAACGGCTGGGAATTTCTGGTCAGTTAAATCTAGAAGCACCTATAAACTTTGGGATTGGGATTTTTTCCCCATACTGATCAAGGTGAGATTTGAATATTAATTTTGTGATTTTTCAAAATCTTTTTTTCATCATTTGTGTAAGTGTTGACTCAAGAACATGGGTAAGATACTTGTGGGTGCCCTGGTCTTTAAGGAAAAGATGCATTTCAGTGACCGAGTAGGCTACGCAGAGTATATAACTTTTGGGGCTGTCTGGCTTGTGCACTGCTCTGCGTATGTTTGCCAGCGGTAGTTCTAAGAAAAATGTAGGGAACTCTTTTACTCTTTTCAGTTTTTATTACAGTGCAAGCAGACAAATACAAAGACATAGCCACGAGCTTCCTGCTCGGAGTCATTTTTGTGACACCAGCAAACCAAAATGATACAATTTTTGCAGGCCTCACTCTCACGCATTGGCTTGGAATGGAGAGTCTGAATGCAGAAGGAATATGGGGTTTCTCTGTGTAAAGTCAAAGTCAAAGCGCTTGGTTTTTCCTGGCATCTGTCACTACAGTGTGTGTTTCTGATCTTACATTGCAGAGTCTGTTGAATGGATTAATGTGTTACAAACCCGATGACCCAATTGAGTATTTGGAAAGCTGTTTGCAGAAAGTGAAAGAGCTTGGAGGGTCGGAAAAAGTGAAATGGGACACTTTTGTCAGCCCAGAAAAGAAGACCCTGCCTCCACTCAATGGAGGACAATCCAGGAGGTCTTTTTTCAGGAATGGTAATGTATTAAGTATAAAAATGATTATATTTCTTCTGCTGTGGGTGGTTTTACATCCACTACTGAATCATTTTATACTTACTTTTATAGCAGATCGTGCCTTACTCTGATTTTCCTTAGGCAAGGGACTCAAGGATTCTGTTTCCTTGCATTTTGGCATTTGTTTTTCTCCTTCCATAACGGATGCTACACAGGAGAGGAAATTGTGGTCGTTTTGCAGCCTAATCATGGATGTTTGCTGTGTAAATGTTTAACACATTAGTGGAGAGATTTCTCGTATCCTACCTAAAACATTTGCAAAGACAGGGGCAAAGTTGCCTCCGTGCATTTGGTTTATATTTTTAGTTGGTCCTTATGGATTATATATGTAATAACTTCAATGCAGTTACCCTAGGTTGCTTTTCTAGTTTATACTGGAGCTATATGCTAGTTTACTAAATACAATGTAAATGATAAACACCTAGAAAAGGGCGCGTCTCATAAAATCTAAGCAAATGTCATACCAATACCTGTAATTATTTTATTTGTAATGTTAACAAAGAGTAATTAGCTCATCTTTCAGTTGCCATAGTTATTCTTCCTTGCCATCCAGCATTTCATTAAACTAATTAGCAAGGATACTATCTCTGCCTCTGTGTACAACATGTATCACCAAAAGAGTTCTGCTGTACGGGTTATCTGCACAGAACAACGCTTTTCTTCCCAGAGGCCACCGCTGAACTCTGGGTGCTACGGGCAGATTTTCACAGAACAGCTGATGTGCTTGTAAAGAAACACGAGAGAAAACTGACTTCTAGTGGTTCCAGTTTTAAAAATCAGCCAAATGGAGGCAAGGAATATTTAATATAGTAACAGCAAGCACATGGTACAATTAGGGGATATTTGTACTTTATTTATTATACTAATTTAAATCTATGTACAGAATAGATTTTGAGTTTTCTGTGTATTTCCACAATTCCCAGTTTATCTTACTATTTTACAGTGATGCCTGATAACTCTAACTTCCCATACCGACGGTATGAACGACTCCCTCCAATCCAACAGTTTTCGATAGAAAGTGACACCGACCTCTCTGAAACTGCTGAGCTAATTGAGGAGTATGATGTATTTGATCCTGCAAGACCTCGACCAAAAATTATCCTTGTCATAGGTATGAAGGCAGAGGCATTTTCACAAGATTTTATCTATGTTACTTTGCCTTTTTATTTGTACTGCAGATACCTTGAATGCCTATATGTATCTAAATACAGGTTTTCCATCTGCCGTAGCAAGTGGTGCAGCCCAATTAGAGCATATCAGAAAGTGAAATTGTTAGGGCTGAGGATATAGCATCCCAACTGTAAGCGTTTTAGGGGTTACAGTGAGCACCTGTGGTCATGTTCTGTAGACAGGATGCCCATTAGCAGCTGGAGAGCTCATGGTTTGCTCATGGAGCACATCTGCCAGTTTGATTTAATCTAAACTGAACCCGACTCGTGTGTTTCAAAACAGCTTCACCATGTGAACCAAAGTGCTCTTCCAAAGCGTGCTCCGGATCAGAACTAAAACGCTATCGTAGATGTCCTCAAAGCTGCTCACAAAAAAAAAGATATTTAAAAATATTGGGTAAGCAGCTTAAAAAGGTGATAGGCAATTGTTGTCCTCTATATTTGGAACCTTGAAAACTGATGGGTATGCCCAGCTGGAGTGAGCATACGTGGTCACTAGTCCATTGCATTGATAAATTAATCCCTAGATCTATTTGGCGAATGAATCTTGTGCCATCTTCAGGGAGAGCGAGCGATCAGTTAGCATTAATTCTGCTCTCTCCCTGAGTTCTGTCTCACCTGCTGTTTAGTGTCCTTTCTAAGTAACTTGTACTTTCCAGCCTCAGACAAGCATACTGTTTATGAAGAAACAGCTGCAGTTTAAGTCTAAATCAATGTTTTTTTCTGTTTCTGAATTTAAGTTCTTTGAATTAGTTTCCTTGCCATGTGGGATAGTTGTCTTTTGGCATTTTACTGCCAGGCCTAATTTTCTGATTCTCTGGACAATTAAAATAGTTCCAGCACAGGTGCCAGATGATGGAGAATCACATTTTTAGTCTATAAAGCCTTACTCATATTAAAGAGAGATATTGCTTCTGTAACAGAAAATAGTGTGTAGTATAGTAAAAGAGAATAGAAACGTCTTCTCAGTATTCCAGAGTGGGATCTCTAAGAACAGCATGTCCTCTAGGCTCTGCCATCCAGCAGGTCTCGGGAATGTGATATTGGAATATATTGAAAACAGAAAACCAGGCATATGCCAAAATAATTGCTTAGGCATCTGAATTTTCTTAATCTTTTGTTTTGGAATTAGAAATCTCAACATGCAAATCTCTCCATGCAGTGTTGAACTATAAAGCTTGCATTAGCTGGAGAAGTAACACACGCCTGCCTTTCACCTTAATTAATTAGCTAGCCTTCCTTTTCATAAAGGAGAAAACCTGGCTCCTCTTCAGTGACCACAGAAGGCTCTTAATGCATTGAAATCCATGTAGCTCTGCTGCAGTAGCGTGATGAATGAGTGTTTGATCCAGGTGAAATAGGGATTGACTTTCACCTCTGGAACTGAGCGCAGGAGCATTTGAAGTGAAATGCTTGAATGCCAGCATACAGTGAACAGACCGTAGGTTTTACAGAGCTTTTCTTTTTCCCCATTTATACAGGGAACATTGCAAACATTCCACAAAGGCTATTTCAGGTTTATTTTCCTGAGCTTCTCTGAATCTGCCTATTATAGTGTGATCTGATAGAAACACAACACTATATGTAGCTTAGCAGCTATTGTCTAATTTTGTACAGTATCAAGAAAATTTCTCCCAAATTCAACTTTCTATTGAGCAAGCACAGAAAAGCACACACTGGAAAGAATAAAAAAATAACTAATACACTGAACGAAAGAGAGAAAATGAAAAGAGTGTACTATTAATTTCTGGAGACAAATATTGTATGCAAAAAATGTGTTGCGTATTTTTCAGTTTGCGTAAAATGCCAGCAAAAATTTCAGTTAAGCAAGCTATTTACCTCTAACTAGTGATAACTAACCATACTGCCCAGCTCAGATGGTACTGGTCCTGTTCGTTGTTGGGGGTTGAAATGAATAGGTGTTGAAGACCTGTCTTCTGCTTCACATATTAGGTGAACTTTTCTTTAATAGTGCATTAGCCCAAGATCTTTTTAATGCTTCCATAAAGGTTTTTACAACTTCTTTGCTTTATGAAATCTATCATCCTTACAATGAACCAGGTAGCTCCTAGGCAAAAGAGAACTTGCATAGAAAGGTGGAGGTTTTGTTCTTTTTCTGTGTTTGCAGAAATGTAAAGCTACATTTGGTGAAATGTAAAGCTACAAAGCTGCAAACTGAGTATGTGACTGGATTTTAGGAAAATCAAATGGAACCAGCCATGGATGGCACATATCTGAGTCACTGGAAAATTGAGTTTCTAAGGCATTATAACACTAGGAAACTAGATTGTGTTTAAAAATGTGCTTCCTAACATATTGTGACAAACACACTGTTAATGTTGATACAGCCTGAATACAAAGATCTTAAAAATTAATTACCTGGTGTCATTAGCCCCATAGTTCAGTATGTTTTTAGATGGCACTTAATTAAAAATACTAGTTAATACTGAAAGAATATGTCTTCCTTTTATAACGAAAGTCTAGAGGACAAATAAAAGATAGCACTGCCAGCAGTCGGCTGGCCTGTTGATTTGTTAAATCCAGTCCACAGCTAGATTTTAAAACCATAAGTTTTTTCAGAAATGTTATTATTACATGAATTTATTTTGAATTTTAAACAATATAAGCAAAATAGAAATTTTAAACTTCCATTGACAAACTAGATTAAAACAACTGCTTTAGTAAAACTTTTTGGGCATATAAATCTTCACTTGAAATCAGTTAGCAAACATAATTTTAGATGCAACAAATGTTCCTTAGTCTAGACATCTTCTAAGAAATATGTAAAATAATCACGCTTTTCTTGAATAATGTATAATCTCAGAATAAGAATGAAAAACAAAAGTGATTTCATTTTCCCTTCTTGTGAACCGTTTGCCAGTATGATTTACCAAAGAGTCAGGAATGGATGCATCATTCAATAAATTATAATGATTTTTTGTGGGAAGTAATTTTCTCCTGTCACTCTTCTCTTATTTTATTACCTGAATGTTTCCCCTTAGATTGTAAATGGATAATCCCACCTTCCTATAAAGGGATATTTTTGGACTGAGAAAAACAAAATGTATGAGCAGTTTATGAACTTTAAAGCAAATACTTTATTAGTTTTTTTCTGCTTGTAAATCTAAATTGAAAGAAGTGCCAAACTACACATTTTTTTTCCACTTCTCTTTAATGGCAAAGCAAAGCTTTCCCTAGCAGGAGCGGAAAGTCTAGCTACTTGGTTTCAAAAAGTTTTTTTCAGCTATTTTATGGTTTTACAGAGACTGATGGTTTTTCAAGTACCAGTTCTGTTTTTCTGGCATCTTTTTTATGTCTGCTGGAATAGGGATACTGTTTTCCTTGTCAAATTTTCGGTTTCTAATTTTCTACATGTTACCTAGATGTGTTTTGCATCTTTATTGTTTCTGGGGTGCAACATAGTCTGTTTCAAACTTGTCTTGAGTCTCCAGGGAAATAAACTGAATTTCCTTTCTTGGAAGTTTTATATCTGCAGGAATTAAGTGCATCGTTGGCTCCAGTATGTTTTATAAACCCTTTGCTCCGAAGCACAGTCACAACCTACTGTCCCTTTTTTCCAGTAGTTAGGATTATTGCTGGTAAATAAAGCCATATAAATTCATAGTAATAGATGTTACATGTATGTATAAACACACACATATATAAGATACATTATTTGTATGTTATGCTCATTAGATTGCAATAGGTGGCTTTATACAGAGAGAGAGGGTTGCTTGTGGAAATATTTACACAGAGTGAGGGGACGTTCCAGTAATGAGTAATAATCCTATTCATTCACCTGGCAAAATCTGCTCCATACAAACTCGCAGCAATCAGCAAACAATTAGCTGCACTTCTTTGTGCTGTTGTTTTCATCCACATAAGAAAAAGTACTCTGGGAATCAGTTACACCAAACCTACTATCACTCCAGATTACCAAGAGCCTGCAATAAACTGTAAACTACATGGAATTACCTTGTTTGAACATTCGTATCAGGTACGTTTTTGATTTGTCATGGGGAAGGCTGAGCACGCCATCAAAGGGAGCAGGGAGAGCCGAAGCAGAATTGCTTTGTAGCCACTTTAGTGGAGGAGATGATTCCCAGTGTATCAAATGCTTGCACATCTACAAAAGGGAAACATCCTTTATTGTAGTAAAGAGGATAGCTAAACTGTCTATGAAAGGAAGAGTTCAAGCTGAAAAAACTTAAGCCCATCTAGGTCACCTAGAAGATCTGAAATGGAAGAACAGCTGTGAAACCCAACGTAATCTGCCGAAAGAAGAGTAAAAGCTTGTGCCTCTTTAGGAGAGAAACAGCAAGTGAACTCAATGAGGGAGAAATATTTTTCAGCTGTAACCTTACTGCTCAGAGATAAGATATAGTTTTTATTTCATTCCTTTGCTTGTGTGTTTTATGAACATTTGTAGCTGTATTGACTAGTTGGATGTTACAGATAAATGCTTGTATTTGTATTTGTCTTAACCTGGCTTGCTTTAAGCATTATTTAAACTAATTGGATAATGATAAAGCCTTTTTGTTTCCCCAAGGGTAGAACTAAACTGTGGGCAGGGTATAGGAACACCTTAACAATATGCAAGTTTCCCTGTGCATTCTCTTCAAATGAGTCCTGATCTGAGTTGTGAAGGGCTGGTGGAGAGTTACCATCACAGCGTCAGGGGTACGGAAGGGTTCCTGGTGACTACTGGTGATGCTGAAAGCTCTCTGCCATGTAATATTGGGGCATGGATTTGAACCTGGTTACACAGAGAGTGTCATAAACATGTATGAAGCAATATTGTAAAGCTTATCCTTGCAGCCAAGTCTGTATTAATTACAGAAATGCCTAAAAGCTATTTATGGGAATAACACCGATAGTACAAGAAGTTATATGATTAATAACAAGAAACTCATTGTATTCATATTTACTGTCATTGCATTGCTGTATTTTTTAAAGTTCATAGAAAACATATTTTTAGTAAATCTTAATTCTTTGTTGAAATAAAGTTCAATGTTCTCACGTGCAATTCCCCAAAATATAGCTACTTAGTGTCGGGAATTTATATTAAAACATTTGGTTTGGTTTTGCTTTGTTAAGCTACTCAGTAACATACACTTTTCTACATATAAACACTTACTTTTATCAAAACAATTCCCTATTCTTACATACTGGATTCCAGTTTCTCTGTTCTTCACATCATAATGTGTCCTTTTAGTTCAGACATAGTCTGATTTTTTTTTCCATGCATTGCTTCTGCTGTCCCACTGACCTTCCTTCAGCATTCCCTGCTACGTAATGTAGATGCTTCCTGTGACTTTGATACCTATTCTGCCTGTGCTATATTGAAGGGTCTCTTTATTCTTCAAGTTGTCCAGCAAGCTGAACTTAATAAATTGCTTCTCTATCAGATGCTTCAAGCATCAATACCAGAAGTATGCGTGGTTCAATAAAAGTCCTTGTACTAAATCACTATGGAAACATCTCAGCTGATTATTTAATATTTTTCTGTATTTTAAAATTAGAAAACCTCAGAAATCCATGCAAGCATATTTAGGAGCAGATTTTATTAGTTCCATTTCATGACTAGTCCATTGATTTCATTGGCTTATTTAACCAAGTATGAGTCTTTCTGACACGAATATGCTCTGGACTATCTGCCTCTATCTTTGGATTCACAGTGTTCAGGAAGGGACCAGTTCATTTGTCTCTTCTTCTACTACAAATCAAGAAAAACTCCTTTCCAGAAACAGCTTTAGAATGAGGTCGAGCCTAAAAGCACATGTTTATTTTTAATTTGCAAGTAGATTTGTATTCTTCTTTTTTTTTTACTCCATTTTACAAACTATTACGTTTGTGATCAGTAGATGAGACCCATTTCTAAATGGCTGGTAACAAGTCATGCAACTGTAAGATTTGCTGTAATAATGGTTGGAAAATTGGTGCCCATAGCAAAGATTTCACATGTGATTGGGTACTTCAGATGAAAGGTTAACTTGATGTTTTGCGTATAATTACCAATAGGTGGCCCAGGGAGTGGTAAAGGAACACAGAGTTTGAAAATAGCAGAACGTTACGGATTTAACTACATATCAGTTGGTGAATTGTTGAGGAAGAAGATCCACAGCACAAGCAGCAATAGAAAATGGAGTCTAATTGCCAAAATAATTACTACTGGAGAACTGGCCCCTCAGGTACTGTGTATCCTGTGTTAATGTTTACTTTCGAAGGATTTGTATGTGCTGTATTAATGTGCACCATCAAGAAAACCTCCTTTACAATATTAAATAAATAACTTCTTTTCTCTGTGAAAGGAAACAACCATAACCGAGATAAAGCAGAGATTAATGCAGATCCCTGATGAAGAGGGTATAGTGATTGATGGATTTCCCAGAGATGTTGCCCAGGCAATCTCCTTTGAGGACCAAGTAAGAGATTGTTTTTATTCTTAAAATAACTTACATATTTCTACAATAGTTAAGCTTCTTCAAATCATCGGTAAGATTCCAAGAAAGACTAGATGTTATTTCTAACTGAGCATTGCTCTTTAAATCTTTGCAAGTACATAATTACAGGTTTACAAAAGGTTATTCTTTGGGTTTATGTTATATTACATTCTGTCTGAAGACAGAATATTTTGCAAAAAGACAATGTGATAATGTAACCAATAATCCAGGTCTCTTGTCTCAGTAATGAAAATCCTCTCAAGATGAAGAAGAAAACATCAGATGTAACAATTAATATTTTCTGTATCTCAGTGATTTAGAAAGGGGGAAGACATTATATTTCCATATCTATTTGTTCAATTCAATCTACATTGAGAAACATACTTTAATCAATGCATATCTTCACACCTCCTTTAATCTCAAGTTTATTACAGTGCATTGAAAAGACTGGAATAAAATAAGGGTTAAAACTGCCCATGTTTTGCAAGTTTTTGTAAATCAGGAATGATGATTTTTTTTTAGAAATTTAGATCATTTTGGTTATTCTAAACTACAATTCTGTGGTCTAGGCAGCTAAAACTGTATTCCTGAATTCTATTCACATGTTGTTTTCATGTGGGTATTTTAAACTAATCTAAAAATACTTAAATTCAGTGGAAAAACAAACAGCTTATGTCATTTTCTGATCAAGCGCTGTTAACATTACAGTTACGGTCACAAATAAAGGTTGCAGTTTCAGTGCTGAATTTTTGGAGTGCCCTTCATGTAGAGCGTTTCAGAGTCCTTCACAATTGCTGGTGAACTGCCATTTCTGTACTTTGAATTCTAAGTGTCATTGCCAAGACAGAAGTAGCAAAAGAAAGCAGCTAATGAGGCATTTCATTAGTGTGCTTTTATAGGGTATTGTTCTGGGCAAAATTTAGAAGACTGAATTGAGGAAATTAAAGGAAACAGACAAAATAGTTATTACAGAAAATAGCCGATGACTGCCAGCTATATCTTCTTATAATTAACAAAAGAGAAGATTGACTATTTTATAAATGAAATAGCAGAAATTTAGGCTTAATGTTCATTTCCTTGCCTCATTTTTTTGGTCAGTATATTGTGTGATAGTGTGACTTAAGAGCATTTCTTGGTGCTATAATTTTGTGCTGATGTTGTGTTTGATGAAAAAATGGGGGATGTGAAACTGGAAGAACTGACAGGAGTTAAATTAAGTGCTTCGAGTTATCCTAGGGTCAGATTCTCCTTCTACAAAGGAAAACCAGTTAAACAACACTTGAGCACCCATCATTGGGTCCATTAGTAATACCACTAAGAAGTGGAGTTCAGGAGGTAATAGAAAAAGCTCAGGCCATGCCATGCTGTAGGAGGGGAGAAAGATGGACACTATGTTTTATATATGTTTGAACCCTCCCTTTGCACCATTCTAATATCAGTTAATATTACTAATAGTGGTTCATCTTGAGTGTGCTCACCAGGCATGTGCAGGACAACCAGGTGATCAGGCCCAGTCAGCATGGGTTTATGAAAGGCACGTCCTGCTTGATTGAACTGATCTCCTCCTATGACAAGGTGACCCGCTTAGTGGATGAGGGAAAGGCCATGGATGTCATCTACCTGGACTTTAGTAGAGCCTTTGACACTGTCTCCCATAGCATTCTCCTAGAGAAGCTGTGGCTCATAGCTTAGATGGGTGTACTCTTCACTGGGTAAAATACTGGCTGGATGGCCCAGCCCAGAGAGTTGTGATGAATGGAGATAAATCCAGTTGACGCTCGGTGTTCCCCAGGGCTCAGTTTTGCGGCCAGTTCTGTTTAATGATCTGGATGAGGGGACTGAGTAACTTTGAAAATGACACCAAATTGGGCAGGAGTGTTGATCTGCTCAAGGGTAGGGAGGCTCTGCGGAGGGATCTGGACAGGCTGGATTGATGGGCTAAGGTCAACCGTATGAGGTTTAACAAGGCCAGGTCCTGCACTTGGGTCACAACAACCCTAGGCAACGCTACAGGCTTGGGGATGAGTGGCTGGAAAGCTGCTTGGCAGAGAGGGATCTGGGTGTACTGGTCGACAGCCGACTGAGTATGAGCCATCAGTGTGCCCAGGTGGCCAACAAGGCCAACAGCATCCTGGGTTGTATTAGGAATAGTGTGGCCAGCAGGACCAGGGAAGTGATCGTGCCCCTGTACTGGTGAGGCTGCACCTCAAATACTGTGTTTCGGTTTGGGGTCATAGACCCAGCCACAGATCTAATCGCTACATGACAGAAGTGATATATGTGAACCATTTCCAACACACACAGTTAAAATGATGCTAAAAATATTTTTTTTCTGCATAGGGAGAAAAGGAGGCTGAGGGGAGACCTTATCGCCCTCTACAACTACCTGAAAGGAGGCTGTAGTGAGGTGGGTGTTGATCTCTTCTACCAAGTAACAAGTGATAGGAGTAGAAGATATGGCCTCAAGTTGTGTCAGGGGAGGTTTGGATTGGATATTAGGAAAAGTTTCTTCACTGAAAGGATTGTCAAGCATTGGAACAGGCTGCTCAGAGAGGTGGTGGAGTCATCATCCCTGGAAGTGTTCAGAAAACATGTAGACGTGGCATATTGGGACATGGTTTAGTAGGCATGGTGGTGTTTGGCTGATGGTTGGACCTGATGATCTTGGAGATCTTTTCCAACCTTAATGATTCTCTGATTCTCTGATTCTAATATGCTTTTGTGGTATTTCCTCATTTACCTAGAAATGTTCCCCTCTGCCAGCCTGTTTAGCTCTTCTATAGAAACTACGTGGAAAAAAGACTGATAGAATGACAGATTATAGAAATCCTAATTTTGGCTCCTTTTTAATCTGTGCTATTGCTTCAAAGATGCTGTAGATTGGTCTCTTTTTTTTTTTTTTTAGAGAAATTTTTTTTTAGAGAAAAGAGAGGATGGATTTAGTAATTTTAGACCTGACTATATTCTCAGAGAGTTCCTTCATTGTCAGTCTAATAGTATTTGCTAAATCATACTCCTTAAGGCCTGATTCTGCCTGAAAGACAGATGACTATCTGAGTCTCCCAAAAAGTCCCGGAGCACTTCATAGAGGGCCACCTTTCAATCTTATCTGTTCTAAAATAAATATGGGAAAGGAAAGAAGTAATCATAGAGCTTTTATAGAAGCATAGGAAAGAAAATTTTGTCTGTTTAGGCTTCCCCTTTTTCATCTTTCTTTGCAGCTGACCTCTCATATGAGAATATCTAAGGATGTACATAGAAATAAATGTACAAAGGATGTACATATTTCAACATGCAACATCTGTTTAGTTCAGGGGGTTATGTTCAGTGTTTTATCTTGGCTTTATATTTTAAAGAAATAAAATATGCTTGCTGTTTCTTTGAAATTCTCTGCTTAGTAAGCCATGATGCTACACACATAAATAGGAAGGTCTTGTAAGGAAAGGGGAGTAGCAGATGTGGCACCCATCTTCCTTCGCAGGATGAGGCTGACAGTAATCCATGGCACATCAGGTTATTTACATTAAACGTGCCAACATTTTTAAGGCACTCAGAGATCCCTCAATGGGAAGTGCAACTGAGTTGTGGAGAATTCAGTAATTAACTGTTGTGATAATTTGTGTAAGGCTGCAATTAAAGATGCTACAGGTGTTTTCCACAGCTTAGAAATTTGCTACCAGTGTGTAGAAGAACAGAACAGAATTGTTCTCATGACCCAAAAGTGACAAGATGATAAATAATGAGTTGAAAGTTCAGCAAAGAAAGTTTTGATTAAATAGTAAGACAATCTATTAAGCAATGGAACATCTTTCTGAAAAAAATGGTGAAATCCCACAAAATGCAAATAGTCAAATCACATTATTCTGTAACACATATGTCTTATTCTTACAAAGATATCACCTGTAGAACACTGAAATCTGTTGATAAAAAGTTCTGAATAAGAACTAATTCTTATTGTTACAATTAATTTTATCATGGGTGAATACTTATTTTTACAGACAGTCCCTTTAAGACCATTATATGCTCACATACCTGGAAACAGCAGCAAAGGTTGTATGACACAAGCCGTTTTAAAGCTTACATTTAGGGCAACTTCCAAAAGATGCAGGAAGTAGGAGTTACTATTTATTTAACTATTTTTCCTCATTCATGACCCCTTCACAGCTGTTAATTGTTTTGATTACAAGGGTTCTGAAATGCAATTGTGTGCTTTCAAACAGTGACTTTACATTATTATTTGTTCCATAAAGCTGCTGGAACACTTTTGGGTTTGACGATGTAAATTAGAATAATGATGGTAAGTTTGTGTAAGGGTAAATCGAATACGCTGGCTTGCTTAGTTCTTTCAGCCATATAGGGTGTAGAGTAGATGCCAGTGGGAGGAATGAGCAGCAGGGAAAAGGGTGACTGTTCATTTATCCTTCATTGTTTGAGTGTGTTGGGATGGGTATGGTATTTATCTGTAATCCTATGGAAGCTTGCAATTAAGAAACAAGCATTCATCTTAAAAGTAGCATTTTCCACTGTATAGCCTTTCTCCTTTGCCCTTGTTTACACAGACAGAAACAAACTCCAAGAATATATGTAATAATACCAAAAATAAATTGTAGGGGGAGAATGTGAAGGACAAGTTATTAAACTGAATGGAAATAGAGATGAGTAATACAAGTTATTGAGGGAGTAGGTAAGTCTGGAACAGAGACTGTACAAAAATGAGGAAAATAGGAGGTCTATAAACAAAATAGGCTACAAAACCCTAACACCATTATAGGTCAAGAAAGCATGTCTGGTCTTTATTAATCATAAGTCTACATTGTTTTGTTACCCGTGTTGTTCCTCTTTATGAGGCATGATGCAGTGGGGTCCAGAAAGCATCTGGACCCAATGTCACTTAAAGGGCCAGGAAATCAAAACTTGAACTAAACATAGCTGGCCACAATGGTCAGTGAAAGGTGGACCAGGAGAGAGCCTGTATGGTTTTT